CTGGCTGTAAATGTTTTGGCTTCAAACGAGATATTGTCTCCAGTGCACGTGGTTTGGCAAATGCTTGCACTTTCGTAGTTCCTTTGGATGGATGCCGCGATTGTCCCCAATTGGTCAGTTTAGGTTGGTTTGGTCAGCCTGCTTGATCTCTTGAAACAGAATCAAGTATTCTGCACGGGTCGTAGTTGTCCGTCTGATCCACACTTGTTAAGGTTGGTTTACCCTTCTATCGATGTTTGACTGTCCACTTCGTCGATTTTCAACTAATTACCTCATACCGGCTCTTATTTACGGTTCAGAGCTGTCTGTCTGTTCATTAACAGTCACCTGATAAGGAAAACCATTCTTTCTTTTCTACATCCTTTTAATGAATAAATAATGCAATTTTCATGGAGGAAACGGTCAATCAACTGATGCCATACAACACACAGTAAAGAAGGAAAGACAGGCGGCGGCGATGGTGGGTTTCGAACACACGTCTTCCGGGGAAATAAGTTGGTGACCTAAACCGCTTGACCACCACTTTCAGAAATTCTCTAGCCTGCTTGAGATTGAGCTTGATTGAAGTCGGCGGGACTGTTTTGTTGATTTTTACAATTGTTTTATTACACTGTATGGTTTTCGTGGACTAAATAAGATCTGTTGGAAGCAGAGCCTTGGAGTGCAGTTTATCCGTAGCTCGTGACCACGATTTGTTTGGCACACAGTCTGGCATCAGACGTATATGAAATATATATATATATATATATAGCACCATAGATACCATCCGGCGGAGATGGAGATGAAACGTTGGGGATATCTTTCGTACCAAACTCCCAAGCAACTTCGTGATCATGTCTTTTACGGCGGCAATCAGAGACGTCCTTTCCAATGAGCCAGCCGTAGTAAAGAAAAGTACTGCTGATGTGACCCAATCAGCAGATGCCCATTGCTTTTCAGCCCACATCGTTTGCTCTTCGCACGACGAAATTCACTACATGATCGAATCAAATCTCTCACCACTATCATAATCCTATTTATTTGTTAGGTCATCCGATCGTTGAGACTACTCGGAATTTGGGATGCGTGTGGTGAACCAGGAGAGCTTCAGTACCTACTCAAATTGTTTTGGGGGACAGAAGGGGTTGTGTAGACGAATACATACTTCTTCCGCTGTGGCTAGCAAACCTGCCTTGATAGTCGACCGCGAACTCTATACATGGAGCAGAATGCCTCAGCCACGCTCACAGTGTGATTTATTTCAGCAAGGTGTGAAACTTCACCGCTGACGCCAGAATTAGCAATTTTCATCCCTACCTCAGTATCTCTGTGATTTCTGATCTTTCTCTTATTTCTGTATGGGGCTGTCACAGTCGTGTTCTAGTCAGTACCAGTAAAATCTCCATTTCCGTTTCTATTAAACATGAATCTTTCTCCCCACGTCGAATTTGGACTCCAACGTTCCGCTGATAAATGCAACTTTTTAGGACTACCCTTTTCACCCCTTCTCCATGGCTATCCCATATTTACCCGCCTATCGTGCTGTGCGCAACATCGGATTATTATCCCTCCCACAAGACGGTCCTTCACTCCCACTCGTTTTACAAAGAACAAATTCACTCAACACATGAAAACTGCAGTCATGTATGGATCTTCGTCTACCGCGCTGTCTCTTGTCGATTAGGTGTAA